GTCTCTTTGTTTTATCACTATTGGCACATTTTATACAAATTATATGGCATTAGATTTTAGGAAAAACAAAAAAAGAGGAAATTTCTACCAATTATTTACGTATGATCCCATTTGGAATCTACATTTTGAACTAATCCTATTTCACAGAATCACATTTTGATCATTCCTAAATACAATTTGTACATCAAGAATCATCACTTCAAGATGAATCGGATCTCACGATCTTTGTTTCGTTTTCTTGAACTCCATCGAAGGCGGATATCAATCTTCGGTTTAGATCCATTGCTCAAACACTCATCGTTTCTTTCTGAAGATTGGTCTGTTGCTTCAACTATATTATGATTAGAACCTTGTGATATGTCATGACTCTTCCTGAAATAGGGAGAATCTGTTGGTTTACGCATGATTTCGTCAAGTTTCGTGTTCATTTCGGACATCTTCGGTTTAGATCCATTGCTCGAACACTCATCGTTTCTTTTTGAAGATTGGTCTGTTGCTTCAACTATATTATGATTAGAACCTTGTGATATGTCATGACTCTTCCTGAAATAGGGAGAATCTGTTGGTTTACGCATGATTTCGTCAAGTTTCGTGTTCATTTCGGACATCTTCGGTTTAGATCCATTGCTCGAACACTCATCGTTTCTTTTTGAAGATTGGTCTGTTGCTTCAACTATATTATGATTAGAACCTTGTGATATGTCATGACTCWTCCTKAAAYAGGGAGAATTTGTTGGTTTACGCATGATTTCGTCAAGTTTCGTGTTCATTTCGGACATCTTGGCCATGAGTTCTTTGATATCAGCCCATTGAGTGACTTGAACATCCACATCTATCATCCAATTTATTGAAGTTTCTAATTCTTTGATTCTTCTCTTGTACCTAAACATCAACAAGACAAATATAATACATGTTATTTCATTTAAAAAAAAGGATAGGTTTTGTTAGATTTAATGTTGGGAGATTAATAGCATATACAAATGCTTATCTAAAATAAACAAAAAAAATGAGCAAACTATAATTAAGTTGGATAACGCTGATCAAGCTGACAAATAAACCAAATCACAAAATTAATATTAGAAAATTAAATCTGAACCAAAACTAAAACCCTGGGAAATCCAATCCATACTGAAAATGTGTCAAATTAATTATTAGATTGCATAAACAAACAAAGAAACTTGAAATGAAAACTCGAATTAACATTCCCTACAAACCTATATTTCTTTATTAAGTTTCTAACTGATGAATAGACTCTTATCATGCATGTCATGTATTATATAAATTAATTAACAAGCTTCACGTACAAATTACCTATATTTCTTGATTAAATTTCTACGTCTGAGATCCGCATAAGCCTCGACAAGATTACCAGCCTGTTCAAGGGCATGCTTAAGTGCTTCGATGACTTTCTTCTGAGAATCTTCCACTTCTTCGCTCATGAGCTTATCAACTTTAACCACCAAGGGAGTGATCCTAAAGATTGTAGCGTCGAGACGGTCCAAGATGCACCTTRTGGTTGAAGATCTATCTTTTGCTTTTTTTATGGTGTCGTGAAGAACTTGGAGAACTTGTCCAAGAAAAGCCCCTGCCATWACGTCGATAACCGGCATTTTCTTTAAGATTAGATTAATATTGCAATCGCGACTAGGAGGAGATTCGCTCTAGCTCCCTCGATCGAGGTAAATGTATGAAGGAAACTATCGACATGAAGCTATATACAGAAGAGTCTTTTGTTAAGAAAATAAGTTGCTTTGAAATTATAGAAGAAAATAAGTTGCTTTGGAATTACAGAACTATACGAAGACAAGAGGTATT